TTTTGAACTTTTATTGTTTAGTTTGATTGCTTTCTCATTCATTCACTCTTATAAACAGAACATTTATTGAGAACCTTTCAATGATTCAGGAATGCTTTTCAATTAAAAGTAATGGAAGCTTCCACTTAAAGATTTTAAGGTATAGTTATCTGTCTCATCTGCAGGGAAGAAAACAAAATTAGTTGAGTTTGAGATAATTTGTTAAGGTTACACACATAGGAAGTGGGAGAGTTTTATTCAAATACAGGTCTCTTTCATTCCAGAGCCTCTGCTCTTTCTGTTGTAGAAAAATTTATTTTATTTTCATTATTGAACATGATACATCCAAATAGTTTTTTGCTTCAGTAAAAAGTACTAAATGGCTTAACTAAAATAGTAGTCCACTGTGCTTCTACTTACCAACTTGGCTTCTCCCCCATTACCCACGTACTATAAAACGTCTTAGCCCATTTCTGATGTTCAAACCCTATCTCGTACTCCCTCTTCTGGGCCCCATCTGGTGAAACTGCTAAGAAAGTCAGAATGCTCCTTTCCTTGTCCTTAGTGGGAGTTTCAAACCATGCAAGTCAGGCCAATAAAGGGGAACCCTCACCCCATCCCAATCCACTATCCACAATGGAAACTCAAGCTAGTCATTTCTCCTTGCTCTGGGAAGCCATTTTTCAGATTTGTTTGGGAGGCTGTCTTTCTCTTCCAAAAAATTCCTTATTATCTGTGTATAATGTTTAATTTGCTCTTAGTGCCTGTGTGCCTTCATCAGTCATGAATTCCAGCCACAAATTGTGCATAGGGACTGTGGATACATTAATGCATGCTCTCACATGTTGAAGCTCCCATACCCAATCTTAGTGAAATTACTGACTATCCAAGTATCTACTGGCAAATACTTTGCAGTTATAATTTTGGCAAATATGTTCTGGTCAATAGACCCTAAATTGCATTTTGCCTTCACCTTTGAGGGGACACAATACACCTTTAACTGCCTGCCCACGGGGCACTTCAACAACCCTACCATTGGCCACAATCTTTCTTGGCAAGATCGTGACCACATCCAATTTTCCTTAGGAGCACATGTGTGACATTACATTGAGGACATCCTCCTCCAAGAAGATTCATTTGATGCACACATTCAAGACATAGAAACATATCTATAGGAGGTCACACAAAGGAATATGCCATTGCCTCCACACAAAGCTCAAGACCCAGTACCTCAGTTAAATTCCTGGGAATTATTTGGCCACTTTAAGTCCTCTCTATCCCTGACAATGTAAAGACACAATACTGGGCTTTTGGTCCAAGATGGTGGTGTATGAAGACCCTGAACTCACCACCTCCCATGAATGCAGTCAAATCTATACCTACAGACAGAGCAATTTCCTCTAAAGAAGAGGAAATTCTGAGGGCTGACTGAACAGGTTCTGCATTACAAACAAGAGAGAGACCACATAGAAATGGGTAGGAGAGACAGAAACATGATATTGTGGGAACCTCATCCCCAATATGTTGACCTGCATGCAGTACTAAGAGATTACTGAAGGGCCTGCACACAGACTTGCTCACCCTAGGGCACAGTGAAAAAAACAGTAGTTTAAAGGTCACCTAGATGACATGAGAAGAAAATCCATTTACTAGCCCTAAAGCATCTGCCAAATGGGAGGGGAACTGTGGGAACTCTCTCCAGTGTCAGAGGCACCTTGTTCATAAGGGCAACAGAATTGAAGAAGAGGTAGTTTCCCAGACAAGCAAAATCTAAAAAAGTTCATGATCACTAATCCAGCATTACCAGAAATATTAAAGGGACTTCTAATAAGAAAATATAAGCAAGAACAATCTCACTGATAAAGACAAATATTTAGTAAATGTTTAGTAAAAGACTAGCTAATTATAAAGCTAGTATGAGGATTAAAAGAAAAATAATAGTAAGACCATGTGTAAGTACAATAATAACTTGGGATAAAGACACACAAATGATGTAAAATACAATGTTAAAAACATAAACATGGGGGGTGAGTAAAAATTGGAGTACTTTTAGAATGCATTCAAACTTAAGCAACCATCAACTTAAAATAGACTGCTATAAACACACTATATATACACATATATAGTGGTAACCACAAACCAAAAACATATAAGAGTTACACAAGAAATAAAAAAGTATCTAAAACAAATTACTAAAGAAAGTGATCAATGTGCAAAAAAAAAAAAGAGCAAGAAAAGAAGGAAGGAACAGAGAATAACTATAGAAACAACCAGAAAACATTTAATAAAATGACAATAAGTACATATCTATCCATAATTACTTCAGGTGTAAATGAACTAAATACTCCAATCAAAAG